AGTGCGAGGTTGGGGAACGATGAGGTTGGAGGCCGTGGGTGGGAGGTGACCCGGGTTCAAATTCCACCACAGTAGATAATGGAATTTGAATTCAATAAAAATTTGGATTAAGAATCTAATAATGACCACTAAACTACTGCTAATTGTAAGTTCAGTAATGTGCTTTATGGAAGGAGACTGCAATCAAGACCCACGACAATGTGGTTGACTCTCAACTACCCTTTGGGCAATTAGGGATGGATAATAAATGTTGATGTAGCCAGCAATGTATGTATCCCATGAATGAATGAGTAAAATTCACCATCTCCAATTTTAATTTCTCTAATGCCACTCTACCTGCCTCATCATCCATAATAGAAAGTATAACCAAATATCCTTGGAGTCCATTGGCATTACTATTAGTGATTTCCACACCATTAACATTCTGGGGGATTACTGTTGATAAGCGAAACTGGCCTAGCTGTATAAATACAACAGCAACAATAGCAGGTCACAGGCTGGGAATTCTGCGGTCCTCTAAACTTCTCAAAGACTGCCTTTCGTTTGCAAAGCACAAAATCAGGACTCTGTTGGAATATTTTCCACTTGCCTGAATGAATGCAACTTCAACAACACTTGGGCAGCTGACCAACATTCAGGAAAAAGCAGTCCACATAGTTGGCATCCTATCTACCACTTCAAATATTCACTCCCTCCACCAAATATATAGAATGACAATTAGGGTGTTGCATATACAAGATATATTGCAGCAACTTTCCAAGGCTTTCTCAACCCTTACCAACCCATGACCTCTACCACTTAGAAGAACAAGAGTAACCTATACTTGCTAGATTCAACTGTGATAATGCAATTGAAAGTCAGGGAAAATTGTTTAAACCCTCTGTTGTTGAAGATGGTTATTGTTTGGCACTTGTCTGGCGCAAATGTTATTTGCCAATATCAGCCCAAGTTTGAATAATGTCCTGGCATGGACTGCATTATTATCTCTGAGATGTAATGAACACTGAGCAATCATCAACAATCATCTCCACATCTGACCTTATGATGTGAAGGTTCATGACATTTTATTATTTGCATTTGGAATCTTGGTTCTAAAGTTAAAAACCTTGTATGGTTTTAAGTTTAGTTTATATTTCTGTGTAGTGTGTTAAGATCTTCATTTTGACTTCTGTCATTTGTGTTGGTTTGTTTGAAGATTTGTATACATGGATCTAAATAAGATCATTGAACATCTTGACTCTAACTATTGTTCCCTCTAAGCTGTGCGGATACATGTGCATCAGCATGCTGATTGCAGCATTGACTTCCACTTCTTGGAGGCCCACTCAGCCAGTAAGAAAATTAGAGGGAAAGCTGACTTCAACATGTGGAAAGATTTTTGACAAAGTTTGATAGGACTCCTTGATGCCAAAGCTGATCAATGGCTACCCTGATATTATGGGCAGTCAATCTCATAACACCTCTGGAATTCAGCTCTTTTGTCCATGTTTGAACCAGTGATATTTGGAACTAGTCCTGCCAGAACCTAAGCAAAGTTTTCATTTAAGTGCCAATTGATAGCACTATCAACAATCTCATAGATCATTTTGCCAAAGTAGGCTAATGATTGGTACTGACTGGATTTGGATTTTCTTGTTTTTTCTGGATGTGGAATACCTGGGCAATTTTCTACTTTGTTGAGTAGATGTCTATTCTGTCAGTGTTTAATTCATCAAGCCTTTTACAGTTGGTCGTCTTCTGAGTTACATTTGGTGTTCTCTTCAATAGAAATTCAGGCACATAGTTTAAAGGTGAAGGGTTATATTTTGTGAAATATAATGATAAAATGTAACTTGCTAGGTATAATAAAAAAGACAAAGTAGAAATAGTGTAAAAGCCAAATATACAAAAAAAAGGAGCACTGCTTCTAATTTTTAGCTTCAATTAGTTTCTTCAGTTGGCTACCATCAAAAATTAATGCTGAACTATAATTGGAGTGGAAATATCCTGTAAGATCATTTGCTGTTGGGAAAACAAAGTTATGATTCCAAAACAGTTGCTGTTTATCATGTGCACAAATCTACCAACTTCTGGTTCCGGGTTCTATATTTTTAAAATCAATTTAGTTAATAAAGACAAAACTTCAGAATACAGATTTTCCATTTATCACAAACAATGGCACAAAACACTGGTGCCATACTGGTTACATTTACCAGGTAAAATAAAGGCAAAGAATTAGAGGTGAATGAAATTTAATTTACAAATAATTGAAATAAAGTGTTTTTTTAAAGTAAATTCTGATTCCAAAATCTGTTCAAATCAACCTGTTCAGACGTTTCGTCACTGTGTTAGGTAACATCATCAGTGGAGCCTCCGATGAAGCTGTGTTCTTCTACTCCACTTGGAATTTATACTGCTTGGTCCGTTATGATGAGTAGTGTCATTTCCGGTTTTGATCTATCCGGGTTTGTATATGGGGTCTAATTCTATGTGTTTGTTGATTGCATTACGTGTGGAGAACCAGGCCTCTAGGAATTCCCATGCATGTCTATGTTTGACTTGGGCTACTGTGGTTACCTTGTCGCAGTTAAACTGATGGCCTTCATTGTCTGAGTGTACCAGTATTGAGGAGAGTTTATTGTGCCATTTTGCTGCTAGTTGATGTTCATGTATTCTGATGGCTAGTTTCTTTTCTGTCTGTCTGATGTAATGTTTGTGGCAGTCGTTGCATGGTATTTTGTAAACCATGTTAGTTCTATATGTTGTGGGAATGGGGTCTTTAATCCTTGTAAGTGTTTGTCATAGAGTGGCTGTGGGATTGTTATAAATGGATATCCCCGTAACTTCA